TGAATTTTTGCTTTTCAGAAAAAAAAAAAAGGATAGATTAAATAGTAATGGCACTTGAATCTGACAACAGCCATGCTGGTACTCTGTCGTGATTTAACTATGTAATTCATTTTCAAACAAAAGATGTTTTTAAGAATGCAAACAAAAGTGTTGAAGAGGAGAGCCACCATTTTATATGCCATCCCTGATGGAAGAAGTGATTCTTCCAAGTACAAAACGTTCTAGAGGCAAATATTGGGAAAGAAAGAGGCTCAGGTGCAAATAGTTTGCAAATGTAGAAATTCAGAAAAATGTCTCATTCAATAGATGTTTAGAATCTAAAAGTTTACACATATATGTAACTCATTTCCCAAATCCAAGTCCAGAATGATGTAAAAAGAGGAGGAGCAGATAATTTGGGTCTCGATATCGCTCTTTATCTCTTGTTTGCAGAAAAAATATTACATCACGACATGAGAAAGTGTATAAATGATTGGGAAAAGTGACTAAAACACATAGAGAATCCTCACTGAGAAAAGGAATCCCTTCAGTAGTGCCCAGCCCAAGAATATTCTGAAATATTTCTGGAATGTTTGTTCCACAATAAAATTTTCCACTCTCCCTAACTTGACAGGTATATAACTACCCAGGTGGTGAAATTCAGTGGGCGAGATTCAGGAACGATGTAACTGAATATCAAAGTGATGAAGAAATGGAATTTGGAAAAAGCATCAACAACCATCGCTCCAAAATGACTTTTGGAACCTTACGGATCAAGAGCAAAGGGCTTCGAGCTCCCCACTGGCATTTTAATGCCAACGAACATGGCTACCTGCTACAGGTATTATCTGATTGTGTCAGCTTTCCCGTTTGGTTTCGCAGTTTGAAGCATCATGTGTAGAAAATAAACGTTATATACAAATGTTCACGGGTAATAGAAACAGAATTACCATTCATTGATGGATGACATGAGTTTTCCTGCTGGAAATAGCATTTTCAGATGGAGATACTTGAAATAGACTGTTTAGCCAAGCACAAGTACAGGCTGGGCGGAGAGTGGATTGAGAGCAGCCCTGAGGAGGACTTGGGGGTGTTGGGTGAGGAGAAGCTCACCATGAGCCGGCACCGTGCGCTGGCAGCCCAGAAAGCCAACCGTGTCCTGGGCTGCATCCAGAGCAGCGTGGGCAGCAGGTCGAGGGAGGGGATTCTGCCCCTCTGCTCTGCTCTCCTGAGACCCCCCCTGGAATACTGTGTTCAGCTCTGGAGTCCCCAGCACAAGAAGGACATGGAGCTGCTGGAGCGGGGCCAGAGGAGGCCACGGAGATGATCCGAGGGCTGGAGCACCTCTGCTATGGAGACAGGCTGAGAGAGTTGGGGCTGTTCAGCCTGGAGAAGAGAAGCCTCCGGGGTGATCTTGTGGCAGCTTTCCAGTACCTAAAGGGGGCCTACAGGAAAGCTGGAGAGGGACTTTTTCGAAGGGTGTGTAGTGATAGGACAAGGGGCAATGGATTTAAACTGAAAAAGGGGAGATTTCGATTGGATATAAGGAAGAAATTCTTCCCTCTGAGGGTGGTGAGGTACTGGAACAGGTTGCCCAGAGAAGCTGTGGCTGCCCCATCCCTGGAAGTGTTCAAGGCCAGGTTGGATGAGGCTTTGAGCAACCTGGTGTAGTGGAGGGTGGTTGGAACTAGATGATCTGCATGGCAGGGGGGTTGGAACTAGATGTTCTTTGAGGTCCCTTCCAACCCAAACCAGTCCATGATTCTATAAAAACTGAGGTCAGAGGACTTTGAATACCTGAAAGTTACAGAATTTTATGGACTTCTCCAAGTGCTTGCAATGATTGAAGTAATTACATTATAGAACCATCGTAGAATCACAGAGTTGAAGGACTCTCAAGGATCTTAAAGCCTCTGGCTTCATCCCCTGTTTTGATGCAGGATAAGAATACCTAAATATTTGATATCTGATATCAGATATTAGATACCTAAACATCTGAATATAATATCTGATGGTTTTGTTCAGTTTTTAAACATCTTCAACAAAGGAGCTATTACAAAATCAAAAAATAGTTGTCTCCTATATTTCATCACACCAACCCTTATAAAATTTGTGCTGGTATGCAGACCATGTTTTTGTTTATTGCAAAAAAAAAAAAATAAAAAAAAATCCTAATTTCTCCTTGTTTGTTTTCATTGGCTGTGGAGACCCTCAGGTCGTCTTTCTTTCTCACAACTTTTTCTACATAGAAGACTTTTGTTCCCGTAAAGTCTTCTCTTTCCCAGACTTTTCTTTCCCACTCCTCCTTTCCCCTCTGCCCCAAATAAATCTTCTTTGAAAAGGTTTGTCCTGTCTCACCTGAGCATCAAATTTCAAATCTCTCACTGTGAAGAATTCCAGGTAGCATGTTGATTTGAAGACAACATGATCTTTCTTTGGAAGCATTGGTACTGAGATACATCTCAATCATTAATTTATTAGCTGTTCACTTATTAAGAAATGGTTTAATGTGTATTTGTCATGTGTTCCTTAAACTCTCTAAAATTTTGTCACTTAAAATGTTGTTCTGGATGTAAGTTCAAACGAGAAAACTTTCATTACAGTCATGAAATTCTGATTCTGTTGCAGGGTACTGCCTGGATTGGAGTGATTGGTGCAGATGACAGCGTGGTTACCACGTACAATGTCACAGCTGGCCAAGTGATCTTCTTCCCTAGAAACACGGTGCATTGGATAAAGAATGTAGGAGCAGAAGACTGCCTGTTCTTGCTGTTCTTCACAACACACGAAGAACTCCAGACCTTGGATGTGGATGATGCATTTTTCTCTACCCCAGAGGACATAGCAGCCAGAGCATTAAAGGTCTGTGTGATGGGACAGCCAACCTCCATCTAGTCTTCTACACATCAACATGGCAGTCCAGGTTCTCTCTGTTTCTTGGAGAGGAACCTCCCTGCCTGTCCTATTCTTCTCAGTCCCATCAGTGTGGAAGGATGTACTCATCCTTGGTGTAACTGTGCCACCCTGTGTGTTTTTATACACAAGGAGCAATAAGTGATGATGCTCTCTCCAAGAAACTTGTTCTCCTCCGCTCTTCACATGTATCCCCAGTTCATGGAGGATCCTCCATATTTCCAAGGGTGGAAGGGAAAATAACATAGTGAAGCCTAAAGCTGATTTCCCAATAGCCTCTTGCTGGATTCTGTGGTGTGAGAAGATCTCACAGGAAACTATGGATGAGTCTGTCTCCTTGTTAAAACGGGCCTTATTTGAAGTTCACAGTTTCATATGAGCAAGAACACGGCCACAGAGTTTCTGCTGAGCCTGGGGAATTTGCAGAATTGCCATAAAACTTCCCACCCTGAAACAGTTTGATGGGAGATGGCTGGAGTTTCCCTTCTGCTCCAAAATCTCTGTGGGAACTGAGAAGGAAGGGCAGAGCAAAGGAGCAAAATATTGACAGGGCGAAGCAATTAAAGAGATGAGGGATGTCCACAAGGCAGAATTTGTCTGCCACCAGGTGCTAAGATGGGATATTCCATAATATAAAAGCAAATATTTAATTCCTCAGTTTGCTGAATCAGTCAACTTACTGTGTGTCTCGCAGCCACAAGGTGGAGTTAACTTCATCAGGACGTTCAAGAAACAAGTAGAAGATCAAGCAGTTAACCTCCCACCAAACTTAAACGAGCTGGTGCAAAACGCCACCTACGTGCAGTCTCCGGACAACCTGGTGTGGCAGTACTTCTACAATCTGAAAGGTATGCATCAAAGAACTTGGTTTGTCTTTCTGGAGGGTGGGGAGGAGGGGATCTATAATCTAAACTTTTCATTCCAAAATTAGAATCATAGAATCACAGAACGGTTCGAGTTGGAAGGGACCTCAAAGATCATCCAGTTCCAACCCCCCTGCCATGGGCAGGGACACCCTCCACTACACCAGGTTGCCCAAAGCCTCATCCAACCTGGCCGAATGCTTCCAGGGATGGGGCAACCACAGCTTCTCTGGGCAACCTGGCCCAGTGCCTCACCACCCTCTCAGTGAAGAATTTCTTCCTTATATCCAATCTAAATCTCCTCTCTTCCAGTTTAAATCCATTGCCCCTTGTCCTGTCACTACACACCCTTGTCCAAAGTCCCTCTCCAGCTTTCCTGTAGGCCCCCAGTGTTAAACCTTGTTGGAAGCGCTCACGAGCTGCCTTTGTTTTAGGGTCAGCAGAATATCCTTTTCCAGGAGGAATCTTCCAGTGGGCTCGCTACCGCAGAAACGGCACCGGCCTAAATGAAACAGAAAAAATTTTCAGTGAGTCGTTGAACAAGGTACGTGCTTTCAGTTGGATACTGTAGCTATTTAAACATTTAATTTAAACATTTTTTAACATTTTATTTAAACATTGGGGCTGTTCAGCC